TGTTGTGAGGAGAGACTGCGTGAACTGGGCCTGTTTACTCTAAAAAGAGAAGAGGCTTTCATCGATACATACAAATATCCTAAAGGCGGGTGCTATTATAAAGTGAACGGTGCCAGAATCTTTTAGTGGTACCCAGCGGCGGGACGAGGGTCAATGGCCCTAAACTAATAAAGCAAGAAGTTTCACCACAACATGAGGAAGAACTTGTTTACGTTGAGGGCGGCAGAGCACTGGAACAGACTGCTGTGGTGGTGTATTCCCCCTTAACTTCTCTCTAGGCTGCAGAGTGATCTGAGAAATTTTTGAGCAATCTCAAGTACACTCATTCAGGACATCTGCCCAGGCAGGTCGTGGAGTCTCCCTTTCTGGAGACGTTCAGAACCCACGTTCCTGTGTTACCTGCTCTAGGTGAACTTGCCTTGGTAGTGAAGTGGGGGTGGTCTTTACAATCCCCAGAGGTTCCTTCCAACCTTAACGATTCTGTGATTCTGTAAATTATATGTTTGTATATATATGCAAACATATACATGCTTTGGGAGCTGGGAGCCCATACTGGGGTTTTCCCCATGGAACTCATTCTTCATATCATTAAAATTACTCGATTCGGGTATAACAAGTAAAGCTGCATACCTGATTCAATTACTTTTGTTCATTGAGGTTTTTTTAAAAAGTTTTTAAATCCTGTGTTTTATAAACGTTGTAGAAAAAGGTGTGTGGGCTTCTTCCGGAGTTACTAAAATAAAAATATGCTTTCCCCATTTCACATCTCTTTTAATTGAAACTGCTGTAGAACTTAAAACCTAGAGTTTTCCTAAAAATTCTTTTGGTGCCTGTGGCAGTGTTATTCTAAGTATGGAATATGGTTTTATGTTGCTTGCTGCCAGGAGCAGATATGCAGAAGGAGTGTGGCAGCCACTGTTTCTGCAAAATCATGAAAGTGCTTAGTTAGGATAGTACAGTTAAGCTGTTCATAATATAATTCACAAAATACAATCGTGTTAATTCCAGTCAGTTATGCAGGAATGTTGTTTACATTGATGCTTTTTATTGTAAAAAGTGACACTTCATCATGGTCTTGCAAGATACTTCTGATAGGGGTAGGAGAGAGATGATCTGTTAGAGGAGTTCCAAGTGATAAGCAGCATCTCTTAATGCACAGTGCTGGAGAAGTTACTGTATTAGATTAAAAGAATGAACGTTTCAGTTGCAGTTGCTTTCTGTAGCATACAGATTGACCTGCTCATTAACAGAAAAGTAAGGCAAATCACTGTGACAGTTGCTGTAGCCAGCCTGGCACTGCTGATATCTTTGAGAAACGGAGCGGTTTCTGAGCACAATGATAGCAGTATACAACAGTAATAAATGTGTAAGCTTTTGTTAAGTTACTCCGGCTTCTCAAAAATCTGTTGCAAGGTGAAATTCGTATGTGCAGAAAGAGCACTAAGTGTTTGTCTATAGATATTATCAACCTAACTTTTCCAGAGTAACCTACAGAATATTTTTAGCTAGTGTGTTTTTATTTTATAGTGTGTGGTTCTGTCATGGCAAGTAATAATAAGTGGCAGTAAGGCACTAACTTTTGTGATACAGTGGCCCATAACTTCAGTCTTTCGTGCTCTTGTCTGAAAGCAGGAGGTGGTTTTGTAAATGGTGATGTGCTGGGTGTAGAGGTCAGAGTAGCCTGGTCTGGTGCTGGAATTTTGTGTGAGGTTTGGAGATGCAGTGTCGACTACCTTTGGATGGAGGATCAACCTTTGCTTTCTTGTAGTCATGAATGTGACAGCAGTCACATGTTTATAATTGCTGTATGCTGCAGCAGGGGTTACAGGCCAGGTTTTTGGAGAAAATTCACCTTTCTTGGCATTTGTGTGCTTCTGGTACTTTTTTGAGGAACACACATGTAATGACTTGACATGTGTGCACCATTTAGTGAGTGTTAACTGTAGTTGTGTGACATCTGAAAAGCATGTTTCTCTCTGTCAGGAACTTAACACCAGCTGAGATCTTCAGGACTACTTCCAGATTCCAAAGGAGTTAAAAAATCTAAAAATCTTGGGAAAAATAACAGTGGGGAAGGTAGGCAGCCTAAATACAGGGGTCACAAGCGTTCCCTCTCTAATCTCAAATTACTCTGAACAACTGAGTTGGGCACTGGCAATTTCTATCAGTTCCCTCTTACTCTTGTATTTTATATTTAAGATATATTTTTTTGGTAAAACAGTCTCAAATAAGGAGCTGCATGCAGAAGTTCAAGCAAAGTGCTTGAGTAACTTCTTGTGAGTGGAAGGAGAAGGGGGTGGGAGTGGAGGGGACCTCCTAGTTCAGGGAAGCACGTATGTGCCTGTGCGTTACTAAGCCTAGCAACAGGAAGCTGCCATTCGTTAGTGAGATGCCTCTTCTGAATGTTTTCTTTCTGTGGGTTCTAATGTCAGTATTTATTATAGGAAGGGAGTGTGAGTGTTGATTGTTTCACATGTTGTTAACCAGGACCTTGTTTGGTAGGGTGCTGTGTAGTTGTCAGTGGTGTTAGTTAGTGCAGGTTGATAAGGCTCTGCTTTGTTGGAAAGTATTTGCTTGTTTTACTAACCAACAATTTGGGATTTGGAAAAGTTAAATTGGTTCATTGCGTGTCATTGTGAAAATACTAAGGTAATCCATAAAAATCATTGGGAAAATAAAATATCTTCTCCCTAAGAGCATTGTTTCTTTAAAGCTAAAGTGTTCACAACCAAAGAGTTGACACATCCTTTCCCTGGTATATGTATGGTAGCAGTTTTACAAGCTTGTCAACTCTTAATATTATATGCAACTTTTCCGGTGGAAAGCATACTGCAAATATACATGCCTCCAGCAAATCTTGCATTTATTGTTACTTGAATGCCTGAAAGATTTAGGAACTCAGTATTTTTTACATAATCATAGTTGTAGAAAATACTGTGTATTACTCTTTTGAGATAAGGAAGCATGTCCTGTAAGTCAGGGCAGTGTGAATATTTAAAATAGCAAAATACAGTACTCTTGATGCTCTGTATGCACTAAAGGAATTCAGTTTGATGGTCTATCAAAGCCATTTATTTTGTATCTTACTTTTCCTGAAAATATTCACATGGGTTTTAAAATAACAGTACTTCCTGTTTATTAGAATCATACGAGAGTAAGTACTTGCAAGAACATGTTGTAATGTTCACAAATTATCCTCTTTTATTCCAAAGAGGAGGCGCAGTAGTATAAATTGCTTTCCTCAGACACTGATTATCCTTTACCTTGTAAAATACAATGTTCATAGATGTAGACACATACTAAATGTCAGTTTGATACAAAGTTTGATGGTTTTGATTAGTTAAATAGGAAGAATTGATTACAGGTTGGCTTTTTAGACATAAGTAGAAAGTTTGAGATAGCTTTTAGAAAAATGCATCTGACTATATCTAGATTACAGGAGCAAACATGTCATAGTGCTGTTTTGTACTCTGGTGCTGCATTGTGTGGAACCAGTATTTCAGTGGTGTAATATTGCAAATTAAAACAATTAAGGCTAGAAGTACAAGTTTCTGACTTGTTCAGTGTTCCTTTTACACTAGAAACTACACTAAATAAAACTCCATTTTTTTCCTCTCCCTTCAGAGTTCACAATGACGAATGAAGAACCTCTCCCAAAGAAGGTATGTGTTTTTAAAATTACTTGTGGCTTCACTCTTCCTGGTTATCGGGACAGCTTGATAAGTTATACTTTTCTTTTTGCATCATAGGTTCGCCTTAGTGAAGCAGATTTTAAGGTTTTACCTAGAGATGAGCTTATCCTAAGGTAATGTAAAAAGTGT